GGTAAGGCTATAGTAAGGCATGTATTTTCCTTAATTGACGTTGTAATTGTCTTACTTGGCTTTGGCGTCAGCGTCCTCATGACCTTTACTGGAGACATCCTCCAATCCTCCGATCAGGTGCTTAAAGGAACTGCAAACAAAACGGTCGGTGTTAGGATTCTGTTCATGTTTTCATCAATCTACAACACACACCCCAGGTCAGGAGAAAATACACAAAGTGTCTTCTGGCTCGAGGGAATTAAAAAAAAAAAAAAAGTTCACAAACTGCAGGTGATGTGTCTGAGAAGCTGATCCACGCTGTCGTTAAAAAGCCCACTTCCAGTTTCTATTAAATATTCATCAGTCTGCTTTTAGAGACCAGCCTCTGAAATCAACAAGAAAAGACACAAGTCTGGAGCTACCCACAGGCATCGAACGCTGGCAGCCAACAGGGATGAAGTGGAAATTTCATGTTAAAACAAAACTAATATTTTCTTGCGAGAGAATATATTAATAATTACGGGGAAAAAAAAGTTAATGCCTTTGTGTCAACTGTGGAATAAAATGTTGCATAATATAAAAACAGAGGAAGAAAAAAACACTCAACTCTGATGTGATGTAACAGAGAAACAATAACAGCTTAGTTCCGGTTTATGTTTCTCTTTGCCTTTTTCTTCTTTTTTTTCGAATTTAAAAACAGTAACAAAGCTGAGAGTTCTGTTCAAAAACCAGCTGTCAGCCAGTGTTTTCTCCTGTTGAGACTGTAACAACCAGACGATGGAACAGTAAACGCCGCGGCTCCTCGTTCCTCACATTTCTCTGAGTAAATGATGTCCAGCAGCGTGTTTTCATTCTCCGTCTCTATCTCCTCACCAGCGCCGCTCCACGTTAATCTTACTTCTTTCCGTTTAACACATCACTCCGTACTACCCCCGCCGACTTGGCAGACGCACACATAACAATCTAGTGTGATGGCATTATGTGCTTCCTGCTGCCAAACACACAATGGATGAAAGTAATAATCACCTGTGCTGGATGACTCACCCACTATCCCCCTGGAGTCACACTAAGAATGGCCTGTTTCTGCTAACCGTGTTCCCCGAGGCCAGGGGGAGGCCAGGGGGAGGCCCCGGGGTAATCTGATATCATCTCGCCCCAGCGTCCCACCCATCTGTCTCTATTCTCACTGTGTGCTGGAGACAGAGATGCTCCAGATGAAGTACTTTACTTTACTGTCTTTATCGTCGTTCATGTTCTTGTGTATGTAAACACATTGGATATGAAGTGCGAAAATAATGTGTGTACATGTTAGGGCTGTCAAAATTAATGTATAAAATTAAACAATTGAAAACTGATCAGAATGACACACACTGTATATCCAATAATCCAACTTAGGTTAATAGTCCATCAACTTAGGTTAATAAACAGGGGATAATAATAACAATAATAATTATTATTATTATCACAACTTTGTACTTGCAATATACAGATTTCTTTTACATTTAGGATGTTAATTCCTGTTGATTAATCACGATTAGTCTAGAATAATCACAACCATGATTAATCATGACTAATTGTTATTAATTCCCTCTTTTTGAAATATGTCAATCAGCTGAGTTTGACTTGTATAGTGTCATTTTTAATTTACAAACCAGTCTTTCTGACAAGCGTCCTGTTCATTATCCCCACATCTGCACATGAACATCACAATATTATAATGTGTGATATTATCATATTAAACAGGAGCATATTTATGCAACACTATAAAGGTTTGTCTCACAATCCTACACTTCTTATTTAATTAATTTGCTGTAACATGAATTCTGCCTTTTGTTTCTACTCTACCCTGAAATATTCAGCGAATGGACAATGGTAGAACTGGGAAACAGATTAGATTAAACTTTGTTGATCAAAGCGAGGATTAAACTTTAATGTACATTTGACCAGGTTGAAATATGTCAATCAGCTGAGTTTGAATAATTCAAACCAACTATATTTTAATGGGAAAATGAAGCATTTCTTGTTGCTAAATAAAACACACTATATTCACTGTGCCTAATTAAAGGTTGCATTTTTTGTCGTCTCCTCGATTAAAAACTCATCTTGTCCAACAAGGACGAGCAATTCGAAAAGGTTGCACTTGTAGTGACGTGCAACTATTTCATTGGTTTGATGCTGGTGTATGTGAATGATACTCACTCTCTGTCGATGACCAGACAGGTGACTGCCTCTGCGGCGATAACGTTGGCCGTCCTGATGTCCTCTCTGGAAAAAACAAAAAACACAAAAAAAAGAAATCAAGAAAAGTAGCTGAAGAGTGTGGATGTCATTGTCTCAACAAAGCAGTTTCATAGACTTGTTAAAAAAGTCATAGCAGGAAATGTGGTAAAAATGTCTCTTCTGATTACTGACTCCATAAACGTCCATGGCAAACTCCATAAAAAAAACATCAAACTCCATAGGCAACACACACACACATCACGGTATGAGTGGCATTACTCTTTATCGCACGTGACAGCGAGTTCATCTTCCTCCTCCGACGACGACTCCTCTTCAGAGGAGTCGCCCCAGTCGCACAAATCCTCCGACTCTGTATCCCAGGAGCTCATCCTTTCACTGTTAAAAACGCTCTGCTCCCTCAGTCCCTCACTGTCTTTAACTCTGCTTCTGAAACCATGCACTGCCCAGGGCTACTCTCCAATAATCTGAGACGTACTTCTGAACAAAACTGGAATCCAAATCTGCTGTTATCCACCGTGACATGGGGTCAAACAGCGCAAAAAAAGAAAAAAGATTTCATAGATGACTTTTATAAAGTTTTAAAAAGAAGTCTCAGTTCAGCTGAGATTTCATAGATGACTTTTATTAAGTTTTAAAAAGAAGTCTCAGTTCAGCTGCTAACTAACTCAACTGACCAACAATCACTTCTGTGTGGCCTCAGCCCAGACATATGTATTGCAATCTATTTCAATTCGCTAGAGTGACAATTCTTCCCCATGCCAAGTCGACTCCCTCTGCCTTCCCTCTGACCCATGAAGGCACAGAGAAAAGGGGATGGAGCGAGAGAGAGAGGGAGAGTGGGAGAGTTCGGAGTGGCGCTTCCAAGTAAATACTACAGCTGGTGGCGGAACAAACATTTTGAAAGGTGAGGACAAGCGAGCAAAGGAGAGAGCAGTGCTGGGTGTATGAACAGATCGTGTGGCCCGGATAACACACCTCGGATTTCGTCCAACTGCGATAAGCTCGCATCAACGATCTTAACACAATACTCTGGCTAATGCCTCGTCACCTGTTCTTGTTTGCCCACAACAGCATTCATAACTATTTACATGGACGCGCATACAGTTTTATTATTAACCCTGATAAAGGATGAAAGGACGACAAATGTTCCAGTCTAAATGAAGACACCGTTGCCGGTACCGTCGAATGTGTCATAATTAGTTTAGAGGGACGAGAGTCTCGATGAGTGACGCTTCGCGCAAATGAGTTCCCGGGAGGTTCGACTCGCACATCTGTCACCGCCTGAGGCTAAGAAGGAAACAAAGGTTTCGGAGTGGAGTCGAGGGGATAGCGAAACTCACAGTTGAACAAACAGGCCCCAAAAAATAAGATGTACAAGAATAAGATGCGAATAAAAGAGTAGAAAGTAAAATAATGAATAAAAAACGTTAACGTTATCATTTAATGTCAATGTTCCTACTTTGACCAAAAAAACAACAAAAAAAAAAAAATACATACGTCAATATACTTTTTTCATTTAGAGGGGAAATGTATTTATCTTGATCAATCGTTATCATCACAATTAATCATGATTAATCGGTTGAGAAACATTTTTTTCAAAGTTTTCAAAACCTTATTCATTAATTCAACTTCCGCCACTTGGAGCTTTTCAGGTGGCGCTGTTAAGCAATTAATCAAATTCAGTTTTTTTTTTTTGTTTTTTGTTTTGGAAATTCAACACCTACATACGAAGAAACTGTAACTAAAAAGAGAGCGGCTTGCTGTATGACGGGGGAGCTCGCCACTTCCTGCTAACTACTGATTAATGCACTTCACAGAATAATACATCACTGTTGCGTTTCCTCTTGAAGCTCAGTTTAATGAAACAGAGAAACAACAACTCATTTTTTGTGGCGGTTTTGTTGTTTCTCACCGACGAACATTTTTCAATGATAAATGTGACTTGAGGGCAAACGGGGGACGATGTTTGCCAGAAAACGTGGCTTTGCTTAAAACAAACGAGCGAACCGTGCTGTTACAGAAACCGGTGGTTTGATTTACCGAATTAATTTCCAATGATGAGGGACCATCAAGTCACCAAATAAACTGTTTATTCCTCAGCCTGTGACTGAGCATTTTTATTAAAACCTATTTATTAAATATTTTTTTCTTTTTATTTATGGCTTCATTATTCTTCTTGCAACCAAAGAATAATGTTTCCTCATTACAATACACATAAGAAACATATAAAGACAAACAACCAGTCACAAGCCCAGAAAAAATTACATATAAAAAAATATTACAACTATGAAAATCCTCAAATCTTCCAGGTGTGTTTCCACCAGAGAAAGAATTCTGTGGTGGAAACACAAATTGCCATAAAATTCAAAACTGCAGAATGAGTTTAGCATTTAGCTATATCGTAAACTGTGATATAATAAACTGTTATGTAAGATGTACTGTACATGACAATAATAATTTTTTAGGCCCCTAAATATATTTGCCTACTATTATTGTACTGTAAGGTGAGTTCAAATACAAAGACATGTACATGATTATTATTATTATTATTACCTAAATAGAATATGTAGTTTTATTTACCTGCCTATAAGACCTAAAAAGCTATGACTATCGGGGGAAAAAAATCCCTCTAATCCCTTCATTAGGAGTCACCTCAGTGCTAGCCTCCGTAGCGCCCTTCCTCCCTAATTCCTAAATCGTGAGGAAAGGTTGTTTTCAGCTGCGGATTAACTGTGCGTCAGACACAAACCCTTCACACTGCACCTCAGTAACTGACGCATTATTGATGATAAAAACAAATATTATTTAATGGACTGGTCCCAAACTACTGGCTTGGGGACCACTTTTGGCCCGCGTCCTGATGTCAACAATTGCTGTGGTATTTAAATGTATTTGTACTAGCTGATGGTACTGTAGTATTATACAGTCTTTACACATTAGTGAAACACACTTTTACTATAATATCTGGGATTTCCTATTCAATCTGAATTATGATGCCCCCATAAAGGGAATTAAAATTTTTTTTAATTTTTTTTTTTTTTTTTTCTGGCAGCCCTCCTGTCATTTTTCCTGTCACTCACGATGATCAACACCAACATGGCCGCACGAGTCATTGTGTGGATTCAAATCCAGGCTGGATTAAGTCAATCCAGATGTCATGTGTCCTTGCTGCGCACATTTTAAAAATCCGGGGTGTGACCGCTAACCTTGAGCGACCCCCATCATTCGGGACAAATGTTAATACTAGTTCTGACCTGGAACCATATATGAGTTAATTTGTCTCCTAAGAGGAGGTGTGAGATGCCCAGGGCGTTTACCAACCATAGAAACACAACAAAAACAACACTTCAGTTAGCTACTGAAATAGTGGTTACGTAAGCGCGAATCGTCCTTAAGAGGCCGCTAAGATTTCCTGCTGGTGCGCGTGGCTCGTTACACCTGTCCCACACGAACAACAACCGTTACGCCGACACTGGTGGTGTTGTACTGTACGTGAAACGCTAACCGCTACACAACATCTGTCAGAATGATTCATGTTCTCACTGAAGTCAGCCGGTGAGCCAAAGATGGCTGGGTATTTGTTAATTGCGCTGCAACAAGTGATAGATGGGTAAACACACACACACACACTCACACACTGATACACACTAAGCCCGCGGTGTTGATTTCCAGTGGATGGTCCAAATGAAACTGTAATTGGACAGTAATCTGGTGTCCCGGGAAGAGGGTTATGAAAATCATGCACACAAGCGCGGAGGCTAAAGTGAGGGGGCGGTATCTATGGACTGTATCGAGAGAAGGAAAACCCGGGGTCAGAAATAGGTCAGGGACAGGATTGTGGAAGAAAACAATGATACATCACACAAGGTTAATCACCGATGTGTGTGTGTGAGAGGCTCAGTATATTCAGTACAATTGGACATTATATACACAAATGCAGAGTTGGTTGTCCAGAGCCTCCAGTAATGAGGAGATTCTTTTCTCTGTAATAAACCAGGAAGCTGCTGGCTACACTCAAAATAAAGTTAGAGAAAAAGAAACAACAGTGTGGGCGCTCTCAACTGCAAGATTCGTGTATTTGTATAACCAAATAGAGATGCCTTTAAATCAGTACCAGGTTTAGAAGGTTAGAAGGTCAGTCAAGGTAAGAGCACTCTACGAAACATAAGGGGTTGTTTCTCACTAGAGGTCACAGTTGTTAGATTTTTTTTTTTTTTTATGGAGCAGATGGAAGTTCATCTTTCATCACTCTCTCAGGAATAAAACCGGCTTTCACTCTTTTTGGGCCTCGGCCTGACCAAACACAGTAGGAACACAAAGATTTGCTCTCTTTCTCCCCGTCTTTTACTTCTAGCTCTATGGTAGTGACGCAATCACTCACAAAAACGTTTGCACGAATATTTCTTCTTGATCCCACGGCCAAACGTTAGACCTATTTTGTGAATCTAAATAAAATTAGCATGCCAATTAGCATGTTAGCATTCTTATAATCATGTTTTATCATCTGATAAATGTTAAAAATACCAACTAGTTGGTCTTGGTATGGAAATACAATTTGATCCTTTGCAAAATACTTTGTAAAATCTCCAATTAAAGATTTTTTTCAGCAGACAAGTCCAGGCATGTTAGGCCCAGAGAAACCTGGGTTAATTGTTCTTCAAAACCATTTCAAATTCAGAAACATAAATAATGTTTCTGAAATCAAGCATTTTAACTTTGGTAGATTTTAAGGGTTTTTTTTGTGTGTCACTGCTTCCAAAATTCTGGACAAGTTCCTACCTGTTCATATGTCCAAACCACAGCATTGAATTTTGAGGATTCTGTCAAATACTCCCAAATTGTCAGCATGGTTGGGTCAAATCACTGGCGTTTGCCTATAATTTTTATGTTACATTGATCTGAGCCTCTCAAAAACTGGTGATGCGTAAGCTGTGAAAGTGTTTTTTTAAGCATTTCAAACGTGTTGGTTTAATCAAAGGTTCTCATGTAGATTAATTATTTAAGGAGGACTAACTTTATCTATTAATAGATAAAGCTAATTAACAACCATCAAATTCAAATTAAATATTAATCTTTCAATCACTCCCAGTACAAAAAATCACAAGATAGAGGATCCCTTATAAAGTGCTGCGGTATAAATATATACATATATAAATATACATTATTCATACTTAAATATATATAAAAAAGACAAAATATAAATAGAACTAAACTGATTGAATTCATTCTATTAAGGGAGCATTTCTGCAGAGCTACGTTAATAGCATTAAGTGCTAAAATAAGACAAACTAATGCTCTATGATCTAATTCGTTTTTTAATTTTATGATCAAAGGAGAAGGGATTATCTGAACGACAAACTTTGTGGAGTACGGCAAAAAAAAAACAAAAAAAAAAAACATTTCAGCAGATTGTATTGATTTAGTGACAGTGTTTCTCTCACCCAACGTCAGCTGATAATGACTTCAGGTTTGACAAGTCTGAACAAAAGTGAAGTCTTAATCAAAGGAATGTATCTGACATTGGTAAAAAAAAAAAAAAAAAAAAAAAAGCTGGAGCTCTGCAGTAATTTAACTACCGTCATGTTAGAGTCTCCCAGCCGTTGAACTCCTCCTCACATGTAGAAGACGGGACATGTAGCATCAAGCCCACACTGACACAGCCTCTCACAGTGATTTATAACCAGGATGTTATAAAAGTGATGTGAGTCAAATGACTGTCAGTGACATCACAGGTTTTGTTTTCTTTCTTTTTTTTTAAACTCGGTACATGTACCCTTCCTCCCCACCCACACACCCACACACTGACAGATGCTTGGAGGCACAGGTCACAGTACGCTACAGTTCGTCTGTTCTATTGTTGGACGCTCACCTCAACAGAACGATTAGGATTCAACAGCAGGGACAAAGACATGCTCTGCTGACCGTATCAAAGAGCAGTTTGAAACTTCAAACGAGTATTTACTGTAGTATTGTTCAGGGCTAAATATTAACAAACAAGTAATCCGATATGCCATGTGAGAACACAAACACACAAACACACACTCACACACACACACAACATATATCAAAGACTGCCAATTACGGGTTCCAAAACCATTATCACCAACAGGAAGAGCAGCTGTGATTTGTAAATATGTTGTCCTCACAGTTCAAAGACAGTGTCTTCAGATGGACACAGTGGCCTTTGAGTAGAGGCTATTGAGTTTCACAAACAAGGACACACACACACACACGCAGTTAACTTATAATTAGAAAGATGGTCGCAGTGAAGAGCCTCCTCTGATCAAAAGCCCCGTCGCCAAGACGATCTGCATCTGAATTAATATCTGCATCAAAGGTGCAACTCAAACAGGCCGTCCCTGCGCGAGACACACTAAGGAGACGGGCGGGCGTTCGTGACAAAGGGGGAGTGAAGAAAGACGGAGAGTAATTAGTCATGGTGGGACGTGCAAAATATATGCTTATTCAGCAGGGTTTAGAAGACAGCTCCAGATTCTTAAAGAATTCATTTTGACTAGACGTCAGAGTAGACGGTCATTTAAAGGACAGTCGAAGCGTGTGTTTATCACACGGATACATGCAACCAAAGAAATGAAATATTTCTTTCTCAATTTGGTCAATGGGAATTTTAAAGCCTGAATTATCAATTATTATTATCAAAAAAACTAACTGACAGCAAGTTCATTTCTAGCTGTAAATATAACTTAAAATATATTTTTATTTTCTAAATACAATATAATATAATATAATATAATATAATATAATATATTTTTTGTTATTGTTTTTATGTTGTGTCTCCACAAGATGGCGACATCTTCATTGTCGTTCATGACGCCACAACGGACCATTACTTTGTTTAGATTTGTAGGTTCGTGCTGTTATACCTTACTGAGGGAAAGTAAACCAGTATACGTTAAACTATACCCAAAGATCAAAAAGAATTTCAAAATAAAAGCCTGTACACGGCACCTGTAGCCTCAGTATTAATGCTATATAGTCATAGCATTTTCATGGTATTTATAAAAATGAACTGGAGCTCATCACATCGCTGAACATTTAAACCATTTTTATTTGAACTACCCTTGTATTTTAATAGCAAGGTCCCAAACTCAAAGAAGAATATTTAATTTCACGACACTGCTCTCATGCCAGTGACAGTAAAAGTTATCTTTTGACACTGAACTCTCCTCGCAGTGAAAGTATTTGACGATACTAAATGTTACAGCGATTGTAAATCATACCGTCCCTGTGCTACGCTGTATATGGACTTGTTATTTGGAAACTCCCTGTGGGGTTTTTACAGAGAGTGAAAAAATAAACAAAAAACGTCCTGGTCTTCGCCAGGGATTTTCCACACATGTATTAACATTGTTTTATTACAGCTAGGCTCACCCACGGCGTGTTTACAGATTTCCGAGGCGCTCTGTCTTTGTCAGACACACTGAGAGGTGATCGGGTTAAGTGGCGTCTCCAAATTTGTAGCTGTTTGTCTTTTCATGTTGGTCTTGTGCTAAACTGGTGACATATATGGAGTCGTCCTCAGTCCCAGTGTCACTCAGGACTGGATCCTGCTGCCCTTATGTAACACTAAGAACAACGAGTTCTACTGCGAACCTGATAACATGTATATTTTTATACATATAAACCACCGTATGAGGTGCTGCCACCTAGTGACTGGACGCTTGTTATCATTCAAGCATTACAGCAGTGCCATAAGGCACTTCACTGCGCCCTCCCCAAGGGGGCCCGCCCCACGGTTGGAGAAGTACTGCCATAGATGCACAACATTCACTAAGTTACGCCACCCCTAGAAATGAGTGAGCGCGCAAACGCAGACGGATAAAAGATAGAGAGTGATGGATAGCAAATTATAAAGAATGATGTATGCCGAGGGAGAGGAGAATACTATTAAAGACAGGTTGTCATGTGAGATGAAGACAGGTGACAGTGATGGTGATGGAAACAGCAGCTGAGTTGAGGAGTTGAATTGGAAGGGGCAGCGTTATTAGCAACCTTACCCTTGTAGCGCTTTCTCTCCGAACCAGTCGCCTTTCCCGAGGCTGCGCAGATACACTGGCTCTCCGTTTGGCAAATCTTCCCTGGTCACGTTAACCTGGTAAAAAATAAGCGACAAGCCAAATACGTTACAATATTGACATTTTAAAAGTGTAAATTAATAGAGGACTGTCAAAAAAATATTCACTTATTCTTCCCAAAATGTTGGAATGGAATTTAGTGACTTGGCAACTCACATTGGCTGCCACAGGTGGCGCCATTAAATATGTGGTTGGAACTCACTGGCTGCCACACAGCCTGTGAGTTGGTTGGTTCTTCTGGGGCTCGAACCCAGGACGCTTTGCATGTTAGGCAGGCATTGCTAACAGCTACACGAACTAAGCATTTTAGCATGACTTTTACATGTGAAAGTCATGCATAAAGGCTAAAATGCTAAAATGCTTTCTACGCCATCTATTGGGAAAACGATATAAGTTTAGGGAAAAGGCAGAAGTATAATGATAATATAAACAAAATATATACTTTGGAAAGGTTTGACGGGCCAGATGAAAAAGCTGAACGGGCCAAATCCGGTCCCCGGGCCTTAGTTTGCCCATGCCTTAGCTACACAATCAAACCACTATATAGATCAGGGGTGGCCATTTTTTGGGGATTGGGAGCTACTATTCAAATGACCACCAGGCTAAAGTGATCTACTCACATTGAAATATATTTGCTAATATAAAGTGAACATACTTTATATGTACATTATACAGCACAAAATGAACTGAATTTGTATAGTATATAGCCAGTACTGCTACCTATCTACGTTTCCAATCTACTTATTGGGCAGCCCTGATATACGCAGTGGTTCCATTGTCTCCATAATACGGAGACTGGACTGTTAGAAGGCAGGGGGAGTGACATCACATCACATGCATGGATAGGCAGTTACAAACACCTGACTGGTGTCTGTGTGCGCACACACACACACACACACCACTGACCAATTCATTAACCAGGTGACATGTGAGCGATGGCACTTGTGAAGATTTCAGGGGACGTGAAGGAGACGGATATGTTGGTTAATGAAAGATCTCGTCTCCGAACGTTTGTCAGTTCTGCACGTGTGAGAGCCGATCAGGCTCAACACACCGTACTGTCGTCTACAGCTGAGGGACAGCTTAATTATTCACAGCCGATACGTGGAAGCAAGGGTACAAAAAAAAAAAAAAAAAAAAAAACACAAGGAAGGAGGACGAAAGAAGGAATGTCCTCCAGACAATGTCCACCGTCTGCATGGAGACAAAGGGTGACTTAGAAATAGCAATAAAGTCAAGAACATTAGTGTTCAGAAGACAAGACGTTGTTTACACCCACTGCCTGTCTGGGCTTTTTCTCCTTTATTTATCACCAGGACTCGAACCCTCTCCTCCTGTCACTTACCAGTCACCACCTTTTTAAGTCAGAAGATACGTCATTTATTAATTATTTTTCATATTTCAAAGTGTTGAAATGTCCTAGAGGCTAGAGGCTAATTTTTTTAAACACTAACATTTAGGTCTGTGATTCCAGCATTTGTTGCGTGATCTCTCAGACTTCATTGGTTCGCTCCTAAAACCAAAACATGTGACGAAGCCTGAGGTCCAAACTAGGATTCCCAAAAGATCTTCAAATACATTTTTTTGGATGTGGGAGGTCTTCGGTTTCCGACGTCTTCGACCTACAGTGTTTCGTGGTTACGACGCTGGATTATGCTACACTTGCTTTCTTCTGTTTGTGTTTTTTTTTTTATGGCTCCCAAGTGTAAGTCAGACTTCTAATGTTTTTATGTCCTAGATTATGATGCTACCACTGAGTTATTGACCTTTGCTTTTATGCATTTAGCAACCGCTTTTATCCAAAGCAACTTACAAGAGGAGAATTAACAAACAAGCATGTGGTTTATCTGGGAATCGAACCCAAGACTCTCTGCTCTCAGCTTCCGAGGCTGGGTTGCTAAAACCGCTACAACATGGAACCGACATAGGTACTGATGTACAGTATGTGAGTTTCAACAAAATCCAGTTACGTCGTACCATGGGAACAGAATTGCGATGTAATGACTTTCAACAAAATCCAGTTACGTTGTACCATGGGAACAGAATTGCGATGTAAGTCGAGGACCTCCTGTGTTTGTTTCCTGGTTTACACAATAATCTTAATTCAACAGTAACTCTCTTCTCTCTTACACCAATTACAGAGTGCATACCAGCGGACCCGCTAAGTGACGTTACAGGGATGCTAATAAAAGCCCAGGGACTGAAGTTTTCGAAAGGGAATAATTCATCAAGGGAGGATTTTTCCTCCTTATGCATTATTATCATCACCACCGGCACCATCATGTTCTGCAGTAGCCCACAGTATATATGAAAATAGAACGACTATCACATGTTCTTTCACATGCTTGGATCGAATTGGTACCAGTGTTAAAGTTAGTGTGATTGGGTATTTTTAAAATGCTCTTTCTGACCCCACCAGAAAAAAAAAAAAAAAAACTTTGGATGTTTTTACAGTATAACAAGTCTGTCAGGTTACATAATAGAAATAGAAATAAAGTGTTCAGTTACCTAACCCTGCATGTTTTCATGTGGGGGTTACCACTAGGAATCGAACAGCTGACACTCTTGCTGTGAGGCAAAAGCACTGATCATTCCTGCCTTCTATCCACCATATGTCAGAATCTTTCCTCAATCTTGAAGAGTCAACAGAACACCTTCGTGGTCCTGATTGGTGGTCGCCGTTTGCTCGCTGCCACGTCTATCATTAACCACACTTGGTGCTGCATCATAATAACTAACATCAGGTAAATGTCAGGATGTGCAGTGTGCTGACAAGAAAAATGACCAGTTCCATAAATTGATTTGCCATTTTCTAAACACACACACAAACACAGAGCAGTTAGGCCAAGAATGACAGGATGTGAGGATTTCCTGAGCCTTAAATATTGTTTTCTGGATGATAATAATAATGCTTCAGTCAAAGGGTTTTCAGTGCAACTAACTGTAAGAGAGAAACATTGTGAGACGTGACAGTGTGACTGAAAAAAAATACTGAGGAGAGAAAAAGGGTTTTTTTTTTTCTTGTTTTTTTGAGTTAAGCGAAAAAAATACTGAGGAGAGGAGAATGGGGTTTTTTTTCTTGTTTTTTTGAGTTAAGCGATGACATGATAGCCCTCTCCTAACACTGCTGGATTGGACAGGACAGCATGTTATATTTGCTCAATGTGAAAGACACAGAGTGAGGACAGGAAGGTGGAATGAAAAGGCCTTGATTCTCCTCTCAAGATGTTCAAACTGCTGCGGCACGACATGATGAAAGAGGCAGCGCGGCGGTTTCCATCTCCACAATCAAACCGAATGGTTGGTGACAGAAACACCCAACCAAAAAAAAAAAAAAAAAAAACAAAGCAAATCCAGAGGCTTTGTTCCTGACATCCAATCGGAGTCCTTCCCGACATGTTCCACAAATCCCAGCATTGTGATCAGTGATGGTTTTTAGGAGCCGACTTCAGAAAGTGTTCTCACCTTTCCCTTGCTGATGATGAAGAAAGTGTCTCCTCTGGCCCCTTGTCTGATGATGTACTCTCCATCTTCATAATGTGTCTGTCAAAGAGGACAGGACAAAGGAGTGGAGAAACAGAATAGCAGACATGAGGAGAGGACGGGAGAGGAGAGGAAAAGAGAGGAGAGGAATATTGTCAACGATTTGAAAAAAAAAAAAAAAAAATCACAGTAATACAACAGACAAGCCTGAAGAGCCATTCAGAGAGTTTCTATGCCTCTGACCTGCGGCTTCCTTGGAAATCAACTGTGACCTTGAATATGAATAAGCAAAGAAAATAATAAAAAAAAAGAAGAAATGGACAAAACTGCTGTAGTTCCTCACAAAGAGTAAATTATTAGTCCTGGCGAGGAACTGCAGCAGTCTTGTCATTTCTCAACTCTGGGTTTTCTTTCCAGTAATCCTAAATGGATGGAGTTGTTACCACTGGAAACTATCCCAGCATGCAATGAATAGGCTTCAGTCAGCTCTGGACTCACAGTCACAGTTTGTATGTCAAGGTTGGTGTTATAGGACAAGTGCAGAAATAACCATAAGTGCAGTAACGTTCAGTTGTGGGTTTTTTTTTTTCCTGCATCTGTCTCAACTCTGAAACATCGCAAAATAGGAGTCAGTGTTTCACAACCATCCCACAGTGCACCACCGAACAGAAACTTTACAAGCAGTGTATGTCATGATGTATCATGATCCTTAGCATCAATTAAATCATATCTTACGTACTAGGTGTAAAACCTTGGCCTGTTTAGTTGAACAGAACGCTGATATATCCGCAGGAATTGAAGAAAGATACACACGCTCTTGCTGTCTTTTTATTTAGTGTTTAAAGCAATCATGCTCGAAAGCCAAGCTTATATAAATAGTATATATATATATATATATATACATATAAATATATATATATATGTATATATATATATATATATATATATATATAACAAAAGAAAAAAGATATATTACAAAGAAATGCATGAATAACAAATGCAATAAATTGGAGTCCGATAAGGATTTTTACTCCATTTGTGCTATTATATAGATGATAAATAGATCGTTTTTTTGTGTATCTGAATTTTTCAAACTCATTGCAAATGCATTTTAATACAAAAAATCTAATATTCATTGCATATAATATATAATACATATATACATACAAACAATACAATAAAATAGACCAAAATATAATCAAAATTACTAGTACGTGTGCAAATCATATTTTTGATTCTTTAAAGACTACATTTTGTCTCACTGGTAGTAAAAACTCCCAGCTTTTGTTCAAAGGCTCTTGCAGGAGCCTCTGAAACACCAACACTTTTCCTCTGAAGATCAATAAAGTATTATCATAAAAGCTACGACTGTGTAGTTAAATAATTAACAAGAAAACACAGAGAGGATTTGGCTGTTTTTAATGACTTTTTTTTACCACTCTAATTATATTTTTTATGATTCTATTACCAATTTTCCCATGAAAATCTTAAAAGAACATTTTCCACTAAATAACAAACACAGACCTCGGATTTTGTTCACATCGAGCGCCGGCATTTGGCCCAGGCCTCCTATTGGACCGTTTACTGCTCACTCTGTCGCTACTCTCATTAGCAACATTGTTGCTTCATTATGCGCATTTAACATTTTCTCTATCAATAAGTAGCTAAAATAATTATATAGATATATATTTATATATATATATATATTTATATATTTTATATATATTTATACATATATTTATATATCTGTTTTGGTTTTGATATAGTAACTGTTAAACCCATCATGCCCTTCTTTATCTTGTAAACACAACTTGAAGATAATTTTGACTAATGTCAAATGTTTAAGGGGAGTTTAGACATAAAAAAATGGCACATGGCGTCTCTTGACAAAGTCCTCAGAGAAGACTGTAAATTTGTGCATTCATCTGTTGTCCCTGCCCGTCTCGGGTCACTCCACCTATTGTCCCTTGGTTACCTGCTCAAATCAGTTTCACCTTCATCTAGTTATTGCTCCTTCCTGTTGGTATGCAGCTCGTGTGTTTCCCCTGGTTCCCCCCAGGTTGTCGTATATATATCAGAGTAAAATGTTTCTGCATTCTGTTCAGTATTTTTTTTCCCCCGACATGACTGACGTCAGACCTCCTCTGTGAGTATCTGTCTTTTACGTGTCACTTGTACGTGTCCATACCGTCTCCTCTCTCTCTCTTCTGACATCTGTTTACTGAACCTTTGCTATTGAAAGCTGTGCTTCTGGGCTTCAACCTGCCTCTAAGTCCAAGTGTGTGAAACACCTGTCTATCAACACTGCTGGAAAGAACAACAACAACAACAACAAAAAAATCCCGGTTTTGTTTCTTTGTAGAGTTGCATCATGTCTCAGGCTTGTTCTTACTTTTTTCTCATGAAACAGTTCAGATTTAATCTGCTTTTTACTCAAATCCCACCTTTTGCGGTTTCCTCCCGTTTTCATTATTCACCCAGTTCTAGTTCAATGATTTCCAGTTCATCCTCCGACTCAGTGTGGCCAGGCTGCCGATGCACTTTGACACAAAGCTCGCTTCTTCTTGATGGAGTCGTCCTCACAAAAGCTTAACTCACAAAGCTTGTTAAGTGTAACTCCAGAGATTTACTTTTCCTTGTTGTTGTGTCCTTCAGTATTCCCCGTGGCTCAGCCTGCTCTCGCAAAGTGATTCTCCTGATTTATTGTCAGCAATTGTAACTTCAGTGCCGTACATAAAAGTGCTGTGATACGGTTTTATTTTCACCCCGGTTCATCTGTCTACAAATGCCAGTCTTTGCCGTATAAACCAAGCTATAAATAAACCACAGTAGACGTTACAACAGTTCAACACAGAGCAGCATGTGAGTGACAGACAGGGTTCTTCCCAAAGTGTGTTGTCACACCCCGAGCTGCCACTAGGGGATGGTGGTTTTTTTTTTGTAAGTGGGAATTTGACTATGTTGAATTTCATTCAAAAGTGAGAACGAATTGTTATTAACGTGATTATTCTGTTTGTCCTCATTTGAGCATGATTAAAAATGGCGCCTTAATAAGAAAACTTGAGAAAAACTTTTTTTTTTTTAATTTTTTTATGAAAGGTGGGGACGTGGGGTGCGTCAACCCTGTTGAAATCAATGATTTTTTCCCCGCAAAAAAAAAAAATCTAATAAATTCAACCTGCTGCGACCACCCTGCACCACCACGGGGACCCTGCCCCACATTTTGGACACCATCGTGGCGGGGAAACAGAGAAAAATGGTGCATTATTAGAACTGTGTTTTAAGATGTGATCACTGCTGTACAGGTTGGTTGATGTGTAATATTTCAGTCACATGACTTTTATTATACCTGACACACATTTGTGAAGTGTTAGATTAAAGACGTGACACCAGGAATAGTGTAATAAAAGACAATAATGTGACTAAAAGTGTTAACGTCGGGTACTTGGCTATAATTAAACATGTAACCTGGGCCTGTAGATGTTCTTCTGAGTGCAAATACCTGAAGGTACACCGGCTCAGCGGGGGAGTCGATGGTGTAACAGTCGCAGCGTGTTGGGGAATATTTTATAATGTGCAGGTTTAAGATCAGAGCCTCGGTACCACAGTAACCGAGTTCGAGTTTAATTTGTTTCTGAAGCCGAGTGTCGAAGAGTTTCTGCTGATATAAAACCTTTGTTTTGAAAGAGGACCATTGTTGTTTTTTAAGTACGTGACGTAGCGACAATAATACAGCTTCCAACGTCGTTCAAATATGAATTTGTTGACAAGTTCTCACCGTTGTAACACTGCATTTTTACAGATAAAAATATATCAGCTCACGCGGCATGTGTACAGATGTTCTGAATACAACAAACATGACCTCACATTTACCTCGCTGCTTTTATTAAAAAGCTCTACCGAGGCTTCTGATGCTCGTGCTAAATGATTTGTCACTGTTACTTGCGCGTGAGTGTAACAAATCATACGGCTCTCGCCTTCAGTACCAAGCACTGATGATCTTGTGACAATAACACATGACCAAATATAGACATCCTTAAACAAGCAGTGTAAACAGTTGAGGCTTGGAGACATTTTACAAGTAAATATTTACACCCAGTGATGTGAGGAAAGCACAGAGGGATTTTCCTGTGACTCTACTGTAATGCGTTTTGGGAACGTATCTTTATACTGTATATATACACTATGCAAATACTGCACATAAACTGTATACATACACGCATATGTCTATGGAAATGCTCATATAAATATTTGATGAGCATCGATAGATGTAGACTTCTGATCGTTAGCTGCGTTAAATAGTATACATGTGTGCACATAGATAGAGTAAAAAACAAACATATGTATATTAGGGTAATTATATTAATGTAAAGAAAATGAAAATTGCAGGAAAAAATGGTGATAAAAGGTCTTCATTCAGACAAAAAAATTAAAAATAATTTTATTTTAATGCATAAAATTTAAAAATAAATTAAAAATAATAATATAAAATATAATATAAAATAATTATATATATATGTGTATATACAGATATATGTAAATACATATATGTATATATATATACAGTATATGCATATACGTATGTATATAAATATCCCCTGTGTCCAAACGACTGCTGTTTGAAAAAGCAAAGCTCAACTGAGAATAAATAAACTAGCCTGATTGGTAGCAAACACTACATATATGTAAAAACGGATCTGAAATCCCTGCAGTGATCACGCATGTTGACGTGGCAGCATGCACGTAAAACTACAGACCTGTTCTTGTTTGCCACACTGACTCACATGACCCCCCCTCCCTGGGAGGATTGAATGGGTTTTGAAAGCAGTTTGCAGGATTTCTAAAAAGCTTTACCAAATTGCCTTCTCTTAGGTGGTGGACCATTAGCTTCAGCATTAGCATACCGACGCTCGTACTGACGCAACAATTGCTGCTGGATTCCAACTGTGGGCTCTTTGCTATGTTAATGAAATATACCAGTGTATTAAGATGTAGACAGGAGCACTCGCACTTTTGAACCGGGCACTTACCTCCTCCAGAACGTCGGCAAGCTTGCTCAGTATATCATCTTGCAGGCCGTGGAAAGAGGGCACACTTGAGGAGACAGAAAAGAACGTGTCTTGAAGTAATTTCAACTCATTCATTTTAGATACATAAATACATACATACATATATTTCTACATGTTAGTGTTACTAAATCAGCAATACAGTTCCCCTTGAAGGGCTGTATAGATCAGGGGTACTCAACTTCCTTTATTTAAAGAGAATCTGGTGATACTTTAAAAGTTTGTGTACTAGAGGGTAGAGAACAATAGACAAGAGCAACTGAATAGTACAAACAGTATAAGGGAAACAAAATCAGTAGAACTGCTTGAGAGTGAGCTTGAATACTGTAAAAAAGAACAAACACAAAGACACAGATTAATTTGGGGTTTGAAGACATATGACGTTGCATTGTTTGTTCTTATTGTTTCCCAGCAGCCACAGTAAACCTTGTCCTTCACTCTGTTACATGCCTCCTGAATAAAACTGTTTATCATTGAAAGGGAAAAAAAAACAGTGTTAGTGACCACAGGCGTTATCGCTCAATATCATGGCCGGCCTCATTTTCCTCGCTTTATTAAAGTAATCTGAACCATCTCGTCCGTGCACTGGGGCGCGGGCCGCTCTGCTGCTTCTTTGTGTTGTTTTTTCCTTGCTAACCAGCTGCACAGTGGACAAATTAGCCTGGACTTAAAATAACAGTCCTCAATCATTCAAAACCTCTGTTGTTTCAATAATACTACATACCCCAAGGAAAATGTACTTGTACCTAAATGGCATTTTTTAATCATTCTGACGTTGCTGCGACGTGTGTGACCGATGGTACGGCACGATATAAACCAAAAATGAGAGCTGGCTGCTAAAATGATGAGGTTAAGAGGACCACTTGTGTGGTTCTGTGGTTTCACCTAGTGTTTAAACAAATGGCAGTCTACTTTTAGCCTAGGCATTACTGTGGAAGGATGAAAAATATGCACGAACCCTTCAGATATCATCAAAGCTAACAATACATTTAGAGTCTTTTATCAGTTTGACAACTACCTCTCAAATGTTTCATTAAAAAAATATAAAAATAAACAACATCTTTGAAGAAGTAAAGAATGAATCCATCTTGACACGTTTTTGTTGCCTCAGAAACTATATACAATATTCATTATGTAAATAAATGTATTATTTAAAGCAGGGGTGTCAAACTCATTTGGGTTCACGGGTCGCATAAAACCTAGTTAAACTGGACCAGTACTATCTTAACATAATTAACTATAAATAACAGTCTGGACCTTAACATAATTAACTATAAATAACAAAGCCATGTTTTTCCCTTGTGTTTTCATGCAAAAAATATTTTTATTTAATCAAATATAATTTTACAAAAAATATCCTGAACATGAAGTGTTTGTGTATTTTTTTTTCATTTTCAAAATTCATCAAATGGGCCGGACTGAACACTCTAGCGGGCCAGGTCATGGCCCGCGGGCCTCATGTTTGACACCCCTGATTAAAAGCATATAAAATATATAATGAAAATATATTAATTATATTACATCATATTCAAAAGCATGTAACAGAGTAAATATATTAGATTAAATTTGTTTCATTTTGATATTGAAATCTTATAAATTGAAACGTTATTCCCCGCAGAGGCTAATTTATACGTATCCAGGCATTCAGTATGAATAGAGCTATTAAATATTTACTCAATGCATGAACTGTTATGTAAGAGCTGCTAAGAGGAAGAGCTCCTCCACAGTATATGGGAATCTCATTAATAACTGCATATATTTACAGCAGTAAGAACCCATGCATTCGTTCTTCATTTTCTCTCACTCATCTATAGGCCGAAGCAAGAAATTCCAGTAATTCCTACCACGTAGATATGCCCGGCCGGCACATTCATGGAGTTTTCTTGGTGAATGAAATGAATTTACTTCATTGTAATTCCCACAAAACTGCTATTTTGTATTACTGTGGGCTTGGTTTGGGCTGCAGATCTTTTCAAATTAGCATTACATCTGTACAAATGTTAGTGTATTTTTTGGTGTTCATCATTAGCTGTATTTTCATCTTCTTGCTACAGTATGTCCTTGTAGCAGAAGCCGCCTGCCTGCCCAAAGGGAACCACTGGATTAACCTTTGACCATGGGTCTCAAACTCAAATGATCTAAAGGGCCACATCAGAGGACATATTCAGATATTTTTATAGTAGTGCAAAAAATGTTTTTCTTCATTCTTAAACAACCAACTTAAGCATTTATTAACTGAAAAAGAACAATTGAAAATTTTGAATAATTACTTCAAGGGCAAAATTAAACTATCACTGAAGTCATGGGTCCGATGTGGGAGGTTTATGGTTCAAATGTGGTCTTCCGACCAAAAGTTTAAAACCCCTGTCTTTGTCTGTGGCTATGGTACATGATCATGAATATAAATTTGTAATGAAATAAAGCTGTAATTGTACACGTGCTTATACAGAGGAATTGATCACAATATATCTGGCAACAAAACAGTACTATAATTATCAAGTGTCCCATGTCATATAAGGAAAATGTACTGGATGCCCATAATTGGTCTGATGAAGAACAAAGTCGATCACAGTAAGAACTGAAATCTGAGCCGAGACAACGGCTGACGGAGGATCCCATAATAACTGCTCCTCCTGTATCTCCATTTCATGATCAGACTCTCGACTGTGTAATCATACTCCTCAAGAGAATACTATGACACTTCTTAATAATTATTTCAGAACATGCAATAAAATACACACTTCAGTATAGGGAAGACAGTAACGTTCAGGGTTAGGGGGAGACTTTACAATATTATGACACTGCCGGTGAAACATTAGTAATTAGCATTGCACGTTCTCTCCAAAGGATTCTTGTTGTTTAATTCATTGAATTCCAGATGAAAGCTTGATTCAAAGTCATCAATCGATAAGGAGCGCGATGAAGCCCAGGTTCCCTACCTTTTCAGAAACTCCATATACTCGGTGTGCTTGATGAGCCCCGTCCTCATCATGATGGTCTGAAAACACTGGCGGTCGATGGCCCACAGCTTCACATTCGTAAGAGCTGGAACACACACAGGGAATACTCATGAGCAGCGCAATAAGTTTTAGAATGATGACATGACGACTGAGCTGTGCACACGTACTATATATAATTGAGTGATTCTTGTGCCTTCAGCGCCAACAGGAGCGTGGCGAAAAAACGTTCAACGTTAATATCGGACATCCCTCAGTTTGCACCTTAGACTGTGTATTGTTTCCTAAAGGCTACACATTCTTACCCCCACACTAGCCTATCAAAACAGCATACGTTATCACTTGAACATGCCATAGATTGTTATCAATGAGAAACTCAGTTACAACGTAGCTTTCGACCACATGGTGGCGGTAATGCAGTCCAGTTCCTTAATAAGCTCCAATATAGCTGTAGCGAAATGAAAAAAAAAAATCAATCCCTATCATCAAACCTAGTATTTAATTGGCCACTTTGTAACAATTGGGCCTTGAGGTCAGAAGCTAAGGTTAAGAACCTTTGATCTATTGTGCTACAATGCACTGTACATATCAAATTGTGATGTTTGTTGTAGTGTCAAAGATTCCAAGTGAATTCTCTGAATCAAAAAATTGGTTTGTAATACGTCCTCACTAAACTGAGAGGACACTGAAAAAGTAAACAATTCACAACTGTTCGACAAATTCCTCCGCAGCTAACCAGTGGATAAATGACTGCCAGGAATCTGGGCTAATCAGTGATGGTTCATGGAGCTCGGTGCGTTTTCTTCTAGGAAATTGCAGAAAAGCCTGTGTCATTAGTGGAGCAACAGCAGGGTTAGGTTGCAGTCGCCTTAGGAGATTCACAATTAGCTTCAGACCTTAACAATGTTGCTTTTTGTTGTCGACAACATTTTTCCAACACACCCACAAAGAAATTTAAAAAACCAAACATTTCTTTTCAAATCAGACACAGTAGCTACAAATGAAGTCAGATACACATACACTTTCAAGTTCTGCACTGCATGTTTGAGACTCCGTTTAATGGAGAAAGTGTGTAAGAAAGAGAGAAGAAATGACTGCAAATGAAACTGAGCAAACGTTGAGGAAGGAACAGATGGTAAGTAAAACCTACAAAAAATACATAATTAGTTTTTAACCAGGGGTATCAAATTCAAAGGAGCGGAAGCCCCTGCTGCCACCATGATTTCCTGGGAGCGTCAACATCAGTGTTTGATGTTCAGTTAAAATAAAAAATTTTGTGAAAAAAATAAATAAAAAAAAAAACTACATTTTGTGAAAAAAATAAATTAAAAAAAAAACTACAGCAATTTAATGAATAAATAAAACAAATTCGAATTTTTTTTTTTTATTATTATTGATATCTAGTGTTGGCCAGGATTTGTGGGATTTGTGGACCAAAGATGGGCCCTAGGCCAGGAGTTTAAACACAGAAAAGCAAATGATAATTTTCACTTTCCCATACCTGCTTCTGGTTTATGACAGTTTTTATTTCATAATTTAATAGACAAATGTACTGGGACAAAACCCTTTAGTTTGTACTGTTCCTGAGTGCTGAGACAGCAAATTACCACTGTATCTGTTTGACTTTATTTAATAAAGACACTGAATTGTTCTACAGTGTAGTCCATCTTTTGCCTGTCGCTGTCAGTCCTGGTGGTGCTGACAGGCGTCCGTCTGCCTGGCGCTGTCCTTTGTGCTGAAACACTGACTCTCAAGGCTGGATGATATACCTTAACTTTCGATGGCAAAAAAGTATACATACATATATATATATATATGTATATTTATAGTTATATATGTATATATAACCCCCTTCCTCCTACAATGGGGTGCTATTTAGAACGTGGCTTGCTCTGGGGCTTGAACCAATGACCTTCTGTGTGTGAGGCAAGCATGATAATCACTCCAATATGAAAACATATAACTGCTACACAATGGTACTTTACTACTTTGCTACTTTTTTTTTTTAAGATGTATGTCAATTTTCAGGGGAATAATGCACCCGCCGACTCTGAGTAAGGTTTGATTCCCACTTTAAAAAGAACAACAACAAGAAAATATCAGTTGGATGCAGGTTTTTCTACTATAAGTAATGAGTACAATTCATTGTTCATTTGGTACAATAATAATTATTTGGTTATAAAGGCTAGCGGTAATCATGCTTGCCTTACATGCAGTATCTGTCTGCAGAAGAACATGGGTCTGGTTTGGTTGCAGGCTGTCATTGTGGGACGAATAAGAAACGAATACCGCCATAGCACCTTAATTTATAGCTTAACGCTTGTCATATCTTTTTTTTTTAAGGTAAGGATCATGGGTCGTCGCCAGATCCCAGCAGTCGCTGAGCAAAGGAAACATCCAGGATGGATAGTTCAACTGTGGGTCAACACACAAAAACAAAAACTTTTGGACTGTGGGAGGAAACTGGGAAGAAGCAAGAACACACAGGTAGGATGTGTTAACTCTAAAATAGAAAGAACATCTGTTCTCAGACCCGAACTAGAGATTTGACATTTTACAGCAAGAGTGCTATCTGCCAGACAACAACGTGTCCCATTTTTGTCACACTTCCATAACCCGGTCTTTCAGTAATTTTTAACAACTAATAGGTGTAGATGGTTACTGCTCAGTGATACTGAATCCTATCGCAAAAGAAAAAGTACTTGAAATACTTCATGGCTACAGAACTCACAGCAAATAATCTTTCCTGGACATAGTGAGCAGCAGCAAAGACTGGACGTAGGCTCTGGACCAGGAATATGAATATGAAATGTATGTGACTGAGCAGGGAGCAGGTGTTCAGAATGATTACTCAGTAATTACTGAAAAGCAATGGAGCTCGTCACTTGCTTTTTGTATTCCTATTTTTAAAAGTAAACCTTTTTTCTGACTTCTATTTTACAACATTATGCCAAAGTCAAAAGTAAACTTTTTTCTATTTTACAACATTATGCCAAAGTCTGTTGTTTATGAGATCTAGCACTGCATCAGCTCCATAGCTCTATATTATAAGTCTGGTGTTTATGTGTGGCCCAGAGGGTCTCTTCCTGAGAATCTAAGTAAAACTTTTTCAACTAGGATCAACTTTATATTTAGCAGAGAGCCTGGATCCCACAAAGAGTGCTGCTCAGAGTTAGCCAGGTACGACTGTTGGATAAAGAATAGATAGATATGTTAATTATATCTGCATACATGCCTTGTTTCAGGTCGTGCTGCAGCTTTTAATATGCACGGTCAGGAGTCTGACACAGGCTGTGATTGTTTAAAAAAAAAAAAAAAAAACCCTGAGTGACTGATTGGATTTTACGATAAAAGTAATTTTTGGTAATTGTTCGACGACTGCTACGTCAAATCTCGAATTATAAACAGGCCTCAATGTTACGCTGCATATTTCGGAACCGACTGTTTTCTCCACTGATTGTAATTGTAATTGTACACGCAGTGAAGCACGTACTCCAAACCAAATACACCTCGAATAAAGTAGTTTGAAGTCAAGTTGTTTGTTTTGGTTTGTGGGGTTTTGTTCCAGAGAAGTTCTCAGGTTGGATTTAGCTGGTTGGATTTGGAAAAATAAAAAAATCTTTAAATTTAAATTTTAATAATCTTTAAAATGTACAACACAGGACTGATCCAGTGGTGATGTTTTCCAACATGTACTTTAGTTCCTGTTCTTGACATTGAGTTCAGTCATTGTCAACATCACTTGTTTCACCTTGACAGATGTCTGTGGTAAAAAAAACTAAAAAACCAAAAAAAAAAAACACTTTGAAGAATGTCCTCCCACATCTGATTTTTGTGACCTTGTAAAACTATTGTCAAATAAAAACTTTCTTCTTTAATTTCATTGTTTGACACAAAAAATACCACCACATCCCTCAAAAAGTAGAGTAAAAATCAAGCCTTATTACATGAACTAACTTGGTTTATTCCAGATTTAATAAGACAAAAAACTTGATAATGAAGTCAAATATAAAATACATTAAAAATGTTATAATCCAATTTAATTAAATCCAACATATATCTGTGTCTGGTTTAAAGTAAATCATTTCAGTCTGTTCTTTAATAAATATTGACCCAGTTTGACCTCTAATTACTGGCTTCGAATTGACAACAATGTCATTGTAACTTTAGTTAAAAAATGTTTTAACTACTGTGGGAACATCCATCTAGACATTTAACAGTATTTACGTGTATTACACAGTATGCGCAGATATAAAGGAGAGTGCATTATTACTCCCACACACCCTTCAAACCTTTGGTTCTGGCAGCAGTTTAAAATAGAGCCACACACAGGGGAAATGCCCTCATTACACGGGCTGACGCCTGATTTTACTTTGAGACACTTCCTCAGAGCAGGAAACTCAAATCAAAGATTCATACGTTTTTCACAGAGCGCACAAACTTAAAGAACCATTCCTCACTTTAATAGATAAATATAAACCTGCTGACACTCAGCTAAACTTTAACAACAGGCGTGGATAAACCGTGCTGTAAGGAGGAGTTCCACCACCATAATTATACATCTGTCCTCCGACCGACGAAGCTCATCCATGAAGATATCGGTCCGGAGAGAAATAATTAGACCAGCCTTCTTATACGACCGAGAAGCAACAAGAGTGGGAGGTTAGACATGGTTACCGAGTGTGTAACGGCGGAGGAGTGTTTTGGCAGAAAGTGGGAGTGCGGGGCACTGGGAAATAAGGTACTGAGGAAGCCCGCAGCACACTACAGTAGGTAAATGCATTATTTTGAAGGCTTGACTAAATTGAGGTGAGACCCAGGGAGCCGGTTATCTCGTAGAGAGGCAGCGGATTAATGTCCTATGAGGGTCGTGCGTTGACAACCGGCTGCACATTCCACCTGCGGTGCTGTGTGTAATGAGTGAGTGAGCGTTGCAGGGATGCCGTTTGTGAGAGGGTTTAATGTTCCAGCTGGATGATTAGAAGAGCTTCAACACACGAGAAACAGTGGAGTGTAAATGCATGACACATTCAAGTGTAATTTGTATTTAAAGTAGATTAGAAGAAAAAAATGAGTTCGTGAGAAGAG